AAACTGTCGTGACGGAGTTGTCGAAGTGCAAAAGCCTCCCCTGGAGCTCGAGTGCTTGTCTCCCGCACACGCTCTCGAAGCCATTGTTTGCACAAGAGTGCAAAGAGACTCGAGGTGAGAGATAGGATGAGACTGAGGAACCAGAAGCAGTTGATTCGGACATTGGAGGAAGAGGGCTCGAAAGGCCCGGGCTGAGAGAGTGTCGTTCCTAATGTGAAGTTGGGTTGGCCGAGTTGCTGAGATATTTGCTTAAGGAGTGTTACAGTCGTTTCCGCTGGATCTTCAGAGAGTTCTTGGTATGATTCAACTGCAAAGGCAGTAACAACCGCAGAGAACAAGCCAGCCTGATAAGGTAGCAGTCAGTTTTACTCCAGACAGAGGGAGCAAAAATCGAATTGGACGCACGAAAACTAGAAGGGCATCAAGATCGTCCTTCCATCCTCTTATCATGTCATCGTCGTATCCCTTCACCTGGTCCATTATTCTCCCCCATGACTTCTCAACCGTTGGCCGTTCGTCCATTTCCATCGATAGTGTGGGATAGAACTGTGCAGAACCCAGGGGATTACAGCTAAATATTCGTAGAAACTTTTGCTGTTTTTTTCGTCGTCAGAATCCGTGTTTATATGCCAAACATGAATCTAGCCAAATTTGGTAGTACATATAGACTTGGGCTGTGCGATCACGGATACGTCGCCGAATTGTGTGAGAGCCATACTGTGAGGCTCAGCCACTCGACCATTCTTGTGTGTCTTTTTCGCGCATTGGTATCCTTGAACGAGGTGGTTGCGACTGCTGGTCCGTACGACGGGCTGTAAATATTTGAATCTTTGTCACAAGGTTCCTTCGTCCTTTACAGCAATCGAAATATTCGTAGAGACCACTGGATCACACCTCCATAAATCTAGACTTGTCAAACCCGAATGGCTCATGTTGCTCTATCACTCCATATTAATCAAAGGTGAGTTGAAATTTGAAGAGAGTGAACGCGGCATTGGAACAGTCAAAGGAGCGAAAAAAAAAAATTCGATAGGGGAAGTTCAAACTCAAAGAGCGAAACGCTAAACGCCAGCCAACGCTCGTTGTTTGAACAGCAACTCCGATTCGGAAGTTTCCTCCAACTCTCTGGACCCCCACACCTCCCAAGCTCCCGTCCCTGAAGCAGAAACGTCCTTCTCGTCGTTGTGGTTGCTCGGGAGTCGGACTGCAAAAAAAAAAGGGGGGGGGGAGGAGGTATAAGAGCACGCGAAAAACCAGAACAGAAGCACTGACATCCACCTGTTCAGACGATTCGGCGTCCTCCATCCTGTCAAGGACGATTCTCGCGTCAAGGAAATGATCCCCAAGGGCCCCGGCGGCAAATCTAATATCAGTTCTGAGTTCTGGAGCAGTAAGTCTATGGAAGTATCGGCTCCAGCTGACTAATCGCGGTCGTAGAGATCTTTGACGAAGGTTGGGGTGAGTTCAAGGCTGGTCCACGGGAAGTTTAGTGACGGAAGATCGGACTTTAACGCTAACGTATACGGGTGTATATTGGGTTTTTGATCAGTCGCCCCGAGTGCCCAATGAATGATGAAACTCGTCGGGGGAAGTGTTTGACCGTACCAATTGAATTGGGTTTTCTTCTCTCGACCCGTCCAGAATCTGGTTCACCTTCAGCAACCCGATTCTTCCGTAAGATTCTTTGAGAAAATCATTTCTCCGCGATACTCCCTTATAGTAAGCCTTTCGTGACAGAGTACACATCGCGATTCGCGGGTGCTTTACTACACCCAGGGATTGAAGCGTTGGCCGGGTGGTAGGAGAGAACAACAAGGCCACGTAGTCGGCTCGAACCTTTGCTGGTATTCTTCACCTCCACCTTGAACGTAACCAGAGTCCCCCAAATCGATATCTAACGTCGAACTACCACCCTTTGCAAAACCTCAATGCGAAGGTTCGTGGGTGGAGCGGAGACCGGAGTCCGTATGTATATGGCATAGTTACGAACGAGACGTATGCTGGGTTTCAACCAGCGACCCGGAGAGTACTCATATACATAACCTCGTGTGGGGGGTTTTAACACGTACCATACCCTCGAATTGGGTTTTCCTCTCTCTCCACTGACTTCAAGTCCGAAGTTTTTAGAATCTGGTTTTAGTCATCTCCCAGCAAAACCCCAATTCCCTCGGTAAAAGAAAGAAAGAAAAAAAAAGACTCCCCTCGCGCGCTTTAGCAAGAAAACAAAACATCTCCCTGTATGTTACGTGTCAGAGGACAATCGCGTCCAATTCCGAGGTTTTGCAGGACCAGGAATAGAGATTGAAGCGTTCGCACAATAGGGAGGGGCTCAGTCAACGATGGTTAGGGAAGACGGTAGGGCTTTTCAACGGGGGTGAAGGAATTTCGAAATGTTTTTCTGTAGCCGTGTCAGAGAGATAGAGAGAGGGAGGGAGAGGGAGGGAGTTGGAAATAGTCTAGTTCAGCGTTGATTCATATATAGTTGGTGAGCGAAGAAAACGAAGCACACGGAGCAACCAGATTTACTCACCTCAACTCGAAAGCCTCATCGGTCCTCCTGTCACCATTTCTCGCGAGGCGCCAGCAGAAAACCCTCCACTCGGGACCTCACTCGAATGGCTCTGAGCCGCGCAACAAACAAGTAAAACACTGGGTCACTTCCTGATGGAGTCGCGAAGGCTTATAGCACGACATCGATAAACGTAAGCTAGTCAGCTCAAGTCCTCAAACCCACAAAAAAAAAACAATTGAGCGAGGAAACAGTGGACACACGCACCGAATTCGAGTTGGAGGGCAGATATCCATCCGAGTCTCGGCTCCGGGCTGGGTCCCTAACTTTACAGGGAAAGCCTTACCCAGCTAATTCTTGCACTTCCCATCTTTCCATACGCACGCTCGTCACCAAAATGAAAAAACAGCCCCGTTATGCGACACTCAACACTCGAGGGCGAACGTGGTTTTGAGGAGTCAAAGGAGAAGAAGAATTCGATCATGGGAGTAGGGGTCTAAGAACAACTCGAGTGCATCGCTCACATAAGCTCCCACCCGGGCCACCTCTTACTCATATAACAGAACCTCAGTTACCTTTGTGTAAACACCGTTGGTGAAGTGGTTATCATGCTTGCCTTCCATGCCCTGCAACAATAACAAATAGTAACTTGAAGCAAGCGGCTCGGGTTCGATTCCCGAACGGTGTATCCATGTGATTGAGTAGAGGTTTTTTTTACTCCTCCATCCTCTTTTCTCTTTCTTTCGGGTTGGGGGGTTTAGTATTCAGAGTTGAATTTTGATGGGGAACCTGAGAGAGAGAAAAAATGCGGGATACGGACTGCTCATTACACCGTTCGGGAATCGAACCCGAGCCGCTTGCTGTCTACGAATTGATGGCAATGGAAGGCAAGCATGATAACCACTTCACCAACGGTGTGTTACCCGTGTTTGAAGTGAGTAAGTCGACGTTTGAGGGTGAGTAGCAATTTACTTGCTCATACGCTTGAGGGAAAGATGAAAGTGTCGGGGTGAGATTAGGGCTATTTATATCTATTGTCTTTATAGCGGCTGCAGCGCAGGAGAACAGGGTGTAATACGCGTTGAGGAGAGGCCGGTTGTGGCAGGTCCGGGGCCCGTGCCGGTGCCTCTTTGCTCTGACTCTCACTACGACCATCGATGCTTTTTTCCCACTCGTCATTTTGCTCGACCCATCAGCAGCTGCTCTTTACACATGACTTCTCACCAAGCTAACTCGATAAAACGTTCTTCGATTCCACTTGACCATCAACCATGTCGACCTCCCTGCCATACACACCGCTGTACATAAGCGGTCAACCCGTCAAAACCACCCAAACATTCGACATCCTCACCCCAGGATCCTTGAAACCCGTCGGTACCTGCGCCAGCGCATCCTCTCAGAACTGCCAAGACGCCATCTCCGCCGCTCACGATGCCTTCAAAGGCTGGAGTCAAACCAACATCAACACCAGAATCCGTATCTTCACCCGAGCCGCCGAGCTACTCGAAGAAACAGGAGGGGAAGACTGGAAAAACCGCATCATCACCTCTATAACCGAAGAAACCGGTGCCTCCCTCGAAATGGGTTTATTCAACTACGCTACCGCCCCCAGCTTCCTACGCTCCAGCGCCTCCACCATCACCACCCAACTCGCCGGTCGCACGTTCCCCTCCTCTCGTTCCCCCAATATCGACGTCTACACCGAAAAACACCCGTTAGGCGTCATCTTCACTCAATCCCCCTGGAACGCACCCATCGCGCTAACCCTCCGAGCAATCACGATCCCAATCTTATGCGGCAACACCGTCGTCTTCCGACCCTCCGAGATCTCTCCACGTTCTTGCGCAATCGTCTATGAAGTACTCAAAGCAGCCGGGCTCCCCGACGGGGTGTTCAACTTCCTCTCCATCAGGAAGGAAGACACCCCAACTCTCACAGCTGAAATTATCGCCGACAGTCGAGTGAGGAAGGTCACGTTCACGGGATCAGACCGCGTAGGCAAGATCATCGCTATGGAATGCGCTAAACATCTCAAACCCTGCGTTCTCGAATTGGGTGGGAAAGCACCTGCGATCGTGTTGGACGATGCACCTGTTGGGGTGGCGGCGAAACAGATTTTGGCGGGTGCGACGATGCATAGTGGGCAGATATGTATGTCTACGGAGAGAGTGATCGTGCAGAGGGGGGTTGTGGAGGAGTTTACGGAGGAGTTGGTGAAAGTCGCTAGGGAACTACGGGATAAGGCTAAGGGGGAAGGCTTGGGAACGTTGTTCGCCGAAACGCATGCAGAGAATGTGGTGGAGATGATTAGGGAGGCGCAGGTGAAGGGTGGGGCGCAGGTGTTGTTGGGTGATGTGAAGAGGGAGGGGAGTGTCGTTGGGCCGCATGTGGTGTTGATGGACGAGGATAAGAGTAGGAAGAAGGGGTTGGGGATTTGGGAGAGGGAATCGTTTGGTCCAGGTGAGTATCAAGGTTTTTCAGAATTGTTCGTCTATACTGACAACGATGGACAGTTCTCACTCTCACGACAGTCGACACGGTCCAAGAAGCAATCAATGCAGCCAACGACTCTGACTACAGCCTGACAAGCTCCGTCTGGACGAGAGATCTGTACCTGGCGAGGAAGATTGCCAAGGCCGTTCGAGCTGGGTATACGAACATCAACGGGAGCACCATACACTCCGAACCCGTATTGGGGTTGATCGGGTTAGGGTACGTACCATCCAATCCCATCCCTTACAACGTGTATGCTAATAATCACCACCTCACAGCGGCTCCTCTGGCTACGGCCGTTTCGGCGTAGACGACTTCACCTACGAGAAATGTATCGTTATCCATCCCGAACCTGAACAACTGTAGTTTTACTTGTACTCGATTTTTATTATCTATTATCAAAGAGACATGTTCCTGAATCCTCGAGATCAACCGTTTCACCCAGAGAGAAAGCGGGCAAAAAAGAGCACACCTCTATAAAGTACACAGTACACCGTTCGGGAATCGAACCCGAGCCGCTTGCTCTAAATTACTATGGAGGATAAGGATTTCGGGCCATGGAAGGCAAGCATGATAACCACTTCACCAACGGTGTTCAAAAGGTATTCAGCCACCATAAACCCACAAAGATGTGGGTGCAAACTGAAGCCGAAGCGCTCGTTCCCGACTTCTTGAAGTTGGGACTCCCACGACCGAACCCCGGTTTTCACTTCGACTGTTTCGGGTATGCGTTTTCTCGCTTCAGAACGATGTATGGACTGCTCAGAGTCGACAGCCTAAACAATTCAACCAACATTCACGTTAACAGGCCCTGGCTACTAGTTTTGTGTGCCATCTTCAACTTGTCTACAACGCCACTTATCACTCCAGAATGACCTCGACCATGCCAGCAGAGGTTCTCGCGACCTGGACATGGACATGGCTCGACGAGAACAAGGTGAGTTGTCAGGTTCTCCACTCTCTACTGATGAATCCGACAGCGACGCCATCGTTCCCCTGCACGAGCAAGCAGAGACGCTGCCTTCGGGTGTAAGTCGGTCGGACTCTCCCTCAGCCAAAATTCAAGACGTCCCGGCACGCGGCGCGCCTGCTGGTACCCAAACAACTTGAAGCTGAAAGTCGGGGGGCCGGAGGTGGAGGGTTACACGGGAAGAGAGGTTGATTGGTGTATGTTTTCGTTTCAATGTTCTCCGCTCTCAATTGCTGACTAGTGAGCTTACTCCATCGATTCCATGTCCCTACCCCCTCTCCCCCACCCCCCAACCTCTCTCTCGCGGCACCTCTTCCACCATCCCACCCATTACATCCGACCTGAACCTGAACTTTTCCCTTCGCTCCGCAGGTCCTCGTCGCTTCCCCCCCCCCAACACCACCAAAGCACGACTACCAGATAATGAAGAAGAGACCTAATCCCTCTGGCTCGCTCAAGACAGAAGCCCGATTAACCTATCTCTCTCAAGAACCATATGAGTTCTTACTCTGGATGTCACGAATGAATGAAACCGCAGGCAGGTGCAGCAGAGGTGAATACAGTGGGGGGCCGGGCGTCAGGTAAAGCAACACTATCCAATGCTCTCTATTCATTTTTTTGGAGTATACGAGTACCCGTGGATAGGTACTATGGGTCATGGGTCGCTCGGATTAATCCGAGAATGCGTATTACTCCATTGTCTATCGGTCCTGCGTAGCAAAACATTTTCTGAACAAGCAGCAAAGCCTAACACGGGCATTTCTATCGTGTACGACAAAGTTCCTCAAGTACGGACCTCGGTTAGTGCAGCGATCCTGAACAACGACGATAGCGATAGCGTTGTTCTGGGGACCTCCTTGGTCTTTTTTTGCTCCAGTGGGTTGTTACGCAGACTGTGGACTGTGGACTGTGGACTGTGGTCATCTCTCTCTCGCCTCTCCCGTTACTGACTCTGGTCTCTCAACTGTCCCGGTTCCGCTGGCTTGGCTTGTACAAAAGATTGCTTCCCGGAAACGATGGAATCTCGATCTGACGAGTCTGAACCTACCTGACGACTTGGAGAACGGAAATGTTCAAGCCTACAAATGTCGCCGCCTCCGAGCCAGCTCAAGTGACGACCACGCTCTCACCGGAAAAAGGAGGAGATCCTGGATACCTCTTGTCTCCCACATGTTTACGCTCCTGACACGATCTCCCCCTCCCCATTTAGTCCTCAGGGCGGAGTTGTGCGTTTTCACTCTTGAACAACCGACGCCGCACGCGTTGCCCGACGAGGTGGGAATTTTGACACCATTCGGAGATGCTTTTTGTCAAGCGGGACTCGAGTTGCGTGCTGCGTGCTAGTTCAGATTTTGTACTCTCGCTTGTTGTTTACTAGCCTAATCAATCTTTTATTCAACTTTCAAATCTCAGGGGCGTAACTCGAAAGCAAAGGTTGGTTTGAAATCTTTTGCAAGAGGGCGAGAAGCGCTGAGGTCACCTAGCCCCTCAGGTAGTACTTGGTCCAGTCGGACAAAAACTCAATGCCTACTGAGGGGGTCCCAACTCACAAGTTCTGGTTCGTGCTCGCCACTCTCAATACTCGGGTTTGATTCTTTGGAGTACTTGAACAGGGGCCATACTTGATTCTCGCAAGCCAGTCAGCTGCAATCCAGATAGAATTTTCGCACTCTCCGACTCAGTTATTCGATAGTGAAGGTTCTTCGGGCCCCCGGTCCAACCTATAAAGTGAGGTTCAGCCCCACGACAAGTCATAAATCAAACCCCCCAGAGGTGAAGGCCAAAATCTCGTTCCTGGCTCTTCCCTCGTGATAGTTCTCTGTGCACCCATTAAGCAACGACCGTAATCATCCCCTAAACGATGCTCGTCAACCTGACGTTGAAACGGTGGGGCATTCCTAAGAGGTAGACCCACTCAGTAGTACCGTGCAAGGGTCTAAAAACGCACGTTATGGATAGCGGGACGTTCGAACGTCTTCCACACCCCTGAGATCGACCTGTACCTTCAAGAAGGATTCAAGGGCGTTACGTTCCTTATTCCTTGATGATACCGTTAACGACCTCATGTCCTGAAAGATCAGGGGTTGACGAAACATGATGAAACGGAATGGATAACGGGAGAAGTTTAGGGAAAGAGAGAGGGAGTTTTGAGAAAGAATGAAACGTGTATGGGTTAGGGTGTAACAGGGGAATAGAACGAGCGGAGGTTAAGGTCGGATTAGGGGAGAAGGGATGTGGCGTGGGATAGATGTGTGGCTGAAGTGGTTCGTGTGAGGGTCGGACAGGCGTTCCTTCCACACCGGCCCAACGATCATCTACAGTCATCTCCGACCGAAGCCACGATTCCGAAACAAAGGGATAACGAGAGAAAGTTTTCCCTTTGAGGGCCAGAGAATGGATATCGGCAGATATCGAGGGTTCAAGACGTTTAAGATTGAGATATCCCAGCAAAGGC